ATAGTCAATTTACTTGTTCCAAGATATCTTAAGACCACTTGGTTCTACATGAGTTGATAACCACTGAATAATATGAGTAATGACTCTAGAAACGATTTCATGAAATGCAAAATGTTGAGCTAGGTGAAGTGAGGATTCATGAGATGTAGACTGTGTAGGTAAAAAAAATGTAAATCTTATTCATAATGGTCATGCACTTAGCTATACAAGCACTAAGCTTAGCTAGTTTACAGGCATGCCACTGAAACAAAGGAAACAAATATTTCAAATAAACGTAACATGGTTAAAAATCCAAACTGGTAGGAGCAGACCAGTTGGCTATTTACAAAGTGTGACCGAGGATTTGAACTCGGAACTACCGAGAAACAATTCCCGCAAGTGGCAGGGTAGAGGCCTTGAACCCCGGACCTCCGGATTGTATATGTAGGGAGTTAATGAGATGGTTAGCTGTGAAGGTATATGTGGGGGATTAATGACATGTATGCAGTGTAGGTATATGTGGAGGATTGATGGGATGTAGGGAGTCGATGTAGGCTGTGTAGGTATATTTGTGGGATTAATGAGATGCATGCTGTGCTGTGCGGTAGGCTGTGTAGGTAAATGTGGGGGATTAATGTGAAGTCGGCTGTGTAGGTATATGTAGGAGATTAATGAAATGCAGGCTGTGAGGGGACATTGGGGGGATATTTTAGGCGGGTGGTTGAGGAAGAATACTTTATTATATAATCAGCTGAGGTATTGCTTAGAGATTAAGAGAGATGTGTATACTGCGGTGAGGTTAACTGGCCGCTCAACCATCCGGGTAGTGTCGCACTTATAAAGCGATAGAACAAAAAGCTCTTAGCTGTGAGTCAATGAGAAAGCACTGACGTCATAGCCAAACTGGACAAACGAGTTTCTGACACCGGCTGGATTTGATTATTCAAAATGGCGGACATAACTTAATTTAAGGCTATAATATGCTAATTTGCCAAACATTCTTTATATACACGCTTATGTTCTTTAACGGCGATGTAATTTATGCTATACATACAGTTATATAATATACGCGTTCTTGAGTTACGGTAGCCGGATTAAGCCTTGATTGATGACGTTCGTTTAAGGTTCTCTCTGCCATCTAATATTAACGTTGCAGCGAAAGGGTAGTTCAAATTCTTCGACAACGTCTATATACCGTCTACGAATGCCTACGAGCGAAAACAACTTCCAGTGCCTTGCCGCCTAAAGCATCACAATTTTCAATGTTATTCCACCAGATATCATTGTCTCCGCAGCATTTAGATTTGAGGTCAATTAAGTAGCGAGATCTCCGAGAACTGGAAGCTATGGAAAGAGAAATCCTGTAATAATTACTTGGCTTGGAGCGGGAAAGCTTCGAGTATTAACTCGCCATGGTCAAGGACGTTATTGATGACGATGGCCTTTAAGTGTTCAAAGCCTTCAGCTATACTGAAGAAGAAGATGCAAACGATTGCCGTGTACTAATGGGGAAGATAAAAAGGTATTGCATCGGCGAAGTAACGTAAATGAGATTGTTTCAGCAGCAGGGAAAAACTTCCAACCGAAACGCTCGACAACTTAATCGCTGAATTAAAAAGAACCTTGGCAAAGAGCTGCAATTTATGTGATTTTTTACGGTTTTTACACGATACTCATCTGCGTTCGACTGGTCTTGGGATAAGACATGAGCAAAGTACAAAGCAGCCACTTAGAATGACAGACCCCACGTTAAACAAGTGTATCGACCTTCCAACATCCGAGATGCAAATAAAGGGATTTTAACAACGCCGAAGACGACGCCTTGTAAAATTGAATTTGTCCAGGATGCGTATGGCTCTAAAATGTCACTCAGGGTATGTAGTGACAGCGTTCAACTCTGAATGGAAATAAGAAAAATTAGCAGTTCGATTCATTGATCGCGTTGGCGGTCATCCGGCGTTGTTGTTTTGCGGAGGACGGCTACGAAATGTACAAAGGTTTACTGAACACACTTGTATAGCCTTTGTTTTGCTCATTAAACCTTCTGTTTGGTGGTGCTCGTCGTGGTTTGCTCCAGACTCCGTCCACACTACGCGGGAGGAATTTAAAAAAGCATAGAGCTTTATTTCTACGGTTGGGCCTACGGTCCAGAGTAATCCGTCACGAAACGGAGCTTTTCGAAAACGCTCTTCAAACCGGAGGAATTTGAAAACGCCGGCTTTGAGTTTTCGTGTGGACGGAAAACTTTTTAAAACGGACCTTTTCGAACACGATA